TTTTTGTCACAACGTTCCATTGACTATGAGTTAAAAAAAATTATGTTCTTTTTTGCCGATGCTGGAAATTTTCATCAGACAAGTGACAAAGAAAATTTTTGTCATGTGTGATGTTCCGTTAATTTTATTGTTCAACATATCATCAGGAAGAGCATAGCAAAATGCATCAATTATTCAATGTGTATAGACATTTAATTCCAGCAAATTGTGCTGGTTATTTTCTATATATATATATATACCAATCAGAGATATATCCTCTCTTGTATAGTCTCATTCACTTATCAAAGGTGAATATAAGAAATTCTTTTTCTGTACAAAGTCTTCATATTTGAAATCAAAACTATTCATGATCGACTTTGATTGCAAACATAAGAATTTTGTACGGAAAAGGACTTTCTAGAAATTTACATTGTTAACAAAATCTGTTATACCATCTTAGATGAAAGTATGTGACAAGAAAAGAGAAGACATATCTGTAATTGATGTATTAATAGAAGTCAACCAATAGAATTTCTCAGTATAAAATGTCGATTAGAATTGAATACTGAATGCACTTTGTCGTGCTCTTCCTAATGACATATTAACCAACAACCTTGACTAAACACCACATGACAAAAATGTCTTTTGTGGCCTGTTTGATGAAAATTCCTAGTACCGGTAAAAGAAACATGTTTTTTTTTAACCCAATGTCAAAAAAAAGAATGCTGCGATAGTAAGTACGTTTCATATAGGTTACATTTTTTTTTCTACTCAATTATGTATGATAAAGAAAATTTCAACACAGAATAGACCCCCAACAGTTTGTAAAAATAAGTGGTTAGATAATTTTGAAAAGATAAAAAAAACGCCAAGATATAATTATATCGTCAAAAAAATTGAATAGATCAATTGATTGATCTGAGACTTTTTACTAGTATACTAATCTTGATGACCACCCTATCTTGAGTTCATTCAGGTACCCTAGTAACGTATCGTTAGGAAAGTGTTACAAAATCGAATGATGTTTTTTTTTTATTGAGTGCATTTCCATTTACAAAACTTAATAAATTCAAAAAATATTTTTGAAAATTAAAATAGTGTGTAGTTTATTCCTTATTAACAACAAAGCTGAATAAGAAGTATAAAATCCAATTTTAAATAATACAAATCTTTATAGGAGACCTTGAAATAATAGTAAAATAAAAAAGTTTCGTTTTATAAGACATGAACATATTATGTGAAAAGCTGGTTTTAATAAGATCATTTTTAGAAGTTGGATTTTGACAAAAATTTCATTATAGATATAGTTTGTGATATGAAGTCTATTCTAATATTCTTTGATTTGTTCATTTTAACTTATTAAATGTAATTAGGTGAAACTATGCTGAAAGTTTCTATTAACTCAATGGTATAGTTCTTGAGAAATTGAATAGATTTTACAAACGGTTAGAAGAATTGAAAGTTGAATATTTCAAAAAAGAACTACTTGTGTTAGATAAAACTTTTTAGATCATCAAACTTATTTGTACATAAAATTTCCAATGAAAAATTTTTTTCATTTGTTTACATATATACTATTGTAACTCTGAATGGAAAACTTATAAATCTGAATTCTTTTTCGATATATTCGAGTCGAGAAGTTTTATATATATATATCTCTAAAATATAAACTCAAAACTGATAAATCATTCCGAATAGTTTTTTTTCATCTGTTTAAGATCGATTTTAATGGTAGAGATCTTACAAAAAATTTTTTAAATCTTTTCATAGTAAATAAAATCCAATTATACAAAGAGAATGCTATAGTTCTCTTAAGAGTTATACTTCTTCTTCAATCATCTTCATTAAACATGAAAATATATAGTAAAATCTCAAAGTTTTTTGTTAAAACCATTATTGAATTCAGAATTTCATGTCCGATGAATCTCAATATTTTCTTAGACGAAAGTTGTTCGGAGTATGTTAAAACAGCTTTATCATTTCAATAAGTCTTGACATCTATGCAAATATTAAAAAACAGTGTACGCTTTCATTTTTGTACATCAAAGATTTTATATCAATTTATATAGATTTTAAATGAATAATCATGCAATTAATTCATCTAATAAATATTCAGAATTAATTCTATTTATTAGCATGAACAAAAAAAAAAATTTCTATGTCGTACGTATTCATTTACACTACTGACAGTAGATTGAAGGTCAAAGAACAACTATCGATATGCCACGCATATCTTCTTGATTGTAGACATTTTTCCTTAAGTCTAAGAAGAAAACAACCGCAAAGTACAACTCTAGAGGATAAAAAACAAAAGTAGTTGTACATGGAAAAATACTTTCAAAGCGAAAACATAGGAGTTACAGAGAGAAAGAAAACAAATCTACGCATTATGAAAACAAGCAAAAATAGATACAATAAGATAAATAATTAGTTATGGAAACCACAATTTTCCTAAATCAATATATTACATTCCTCATCTTTATATATATATTGAAGATGTTTAGTTTTCTTGTGCATATTCAAATTTATTTAATCTCATTGGAATTCAATCAAAAAAAAATACTAACAAATCACGTAAAAGAATACCATAATCAATTAAATTCTTGTTGTCAAATACATCCAAATATTTGGACCTGGATAAGATATATCCAGAAGTCAAAAGAATCAACAAGGGTTCTGATTGAATAAGAACAATGTCAACAACGTTTGACATGATGCAGAAAAGTCATATCAAAAGCAGATGAAACAATTTTGATTTAGATTAGTTTAATAATCTTTTAAATAATAATAATTATCAAAAGAGATTGATGATTTTCTTAACAAAATATTCAATAAAACTAACAAAGATAATCTTGATTATAAATCTAAGAAAACTTAAATATTCAATTATATTTTATTTTACATAATAAATTTTATTTTGATTGTACAATGTCATAACATATATAGAAGAGTAGGTCCTAACAGTATCTTACCACTACCTATATCATGCACATTATATCAAACAATTTATCGATAGTTTTTTCGTGGTTTGAATCATATGAATTTCATGTAAATAAACTTCACTATTTGATTACATCAAGAATTTCTATGGATTTCTCTGTAATAGTACGATTGTAATGATTATTTTAACAAGTATATGTTTATTTAACAAACTCTATCATATCTAGTTTAAATACTAATCACTTCATTATTTTAAGAATATCGATATATTTCAATTATAATTCATAGAAAATAATTTAATATGAATTTGTAATTAAAATTAGCTCTGTACAGAATCATTTTTTAAACTTGTTCCTTCAAAAAAAAAGAAAACTCGAGATGAAAGATAGTTCGAAGAACAACATGAGTCTTGACAACTTTCTGCTTGAAAAATATGCTTTTCTGATCATTTACTTAACAATGCTCGGAGTGCAATACCTGAAAGAGCTGATTTTTCAATCGAAACGATATTCACTTGATGAACACTAAAGAGTAATGGAACATTCTTGAATGATTCAGTTTTTTGAACCTTCATTCCTGTTATATTGAAGATTTACTGGATTTTCTTGTCCTTCTATCCTACTTTCATAGGCTTTTTTTTCTTATTATATAAAAATGCACTTGTATAAAATAGATGATCAATTTCTTGAGAGTTTTTCGATTTAAATTAAAATCGATTTTTCAGAATGATCTTTAATTATTTTATTCTACCAATAATAAAAAAATAGTTTACACTAGAACGGAAAATTTCTTCTCAATGTAACATATTTTAATCTAATAATAATAATAATAATATTTGTAACAGTTTGATTAGTGACATTAATATTTTACAACATTATTAATGTATCGTTATAGTAATTATGTATTTGTCAATCTGTTGTCATTGATTACTATACCAATATGAAACATATGCTTCACCGTTTGTCTTCTGACCAATGATCTTTCCATCGGAAGTGTTTCATGTGTCTACGATTTGACAGTTCATGGTAATAGAAATTCTTTAGATTAGGATATAATCGATTTAGTCAATAGGTTGCACTTAATGAACATTAATCAAAGCATAGAAAGTTCTATTATATAATCAATGTTTACATGAAACAGCTGTTTGGTTAAATATACTTGCAACTAAATATGTCAAGTAATACGAATGGAATATATTCTTTTTTTTTTCCTCTTATAATTATACTCTGCGATCAGTACATCATAATTTTTCTTTTTCTTTCTTGTTCTTCTAACGTACCCGATCTATAATATAATAATGAGCACAAAGAGGAAAAAAACACATTAGTCAGTTAGTAAATGATATGCATAGAAAGAAACAAAAATGAATCAGATGGTATCATTTTATTGATGATTGATCGCATCTGTAAACAGCTGTTAAAAGAACTTTGATTTTTCATTTTTTTGTAAAAAGTTTTCTTTATCTATACAAATGTACAAGCTTCATCAAAAACGAACAATCATAAAACGTATACAAACAAACACTCATCGATCTCATATGAGTGAAGAAAAAAAAAAAAAACAGATTTAAACAATCAAACCCAAAACAGAAGCAACAGAAGAGGATATGCATAGCTTTTTCTATTTTTTCGTCGTCGCGCAGCACAAAAAAGAAAACAACAACACAAGTAAAACGTACGAGAGAGCAAAAAAAAAACAGACCGGTGTAAACAATGAAACAAAACGTTAAAACGATATTGTATGTGTTGTGTTCAATCATACTATTTTAAAGAGAGTGAGAGACAGAGCTAGAAAAAAAAACAAATTATTCGAGGGAACACACATACAGAAAGAGGACAAAAGAATGTATATCACTGTCCTTATTTTCAAATACTTGAGCCAAACACAAAACAAAAAAAAAGAGTGCACATACAACACACAAAGAAATGAACATTTTTTGGTCTTGTTTCTTGAATACACACGACACACAAAGAAGAAAATATATATATGTATATACTATTTACAAACAGACGAAAAAAAAAAAAAGTACAAACCGGGATATATAAAAAAACGAGAGAGAGAGAATGAGGGATACAAAATTGTTAATGTTGTGTATAGCGTAAAGTACGTTGTATTAAATGTTCTTGTAATAAACGAGCTACTGTTGATGGTGGTGATGATTCACTTGATATTTGTTCATGATGATGAACATCTGGACTTGATATAGGTGGTAAATCTTTAGTTTTTTTTTTAAATATAATAAAAAATAATATTAAATTAAATTATTAGTTTTTTTTTATATATATAACTACCTTGTCTATGTATAATTGTATCATCACTTTCATTATAAGTTATTTTTCTTTTTTTTGGTGGTCGTTGATGTAAATCATCAATAGTATGATTTATAGATGTTATTGGTTGTTGTTGTTGTTGTTGTTCATGAATATTTATTGTTTGTTGATATATTGTATTAGTTGATGATGGTGATGATGGATTTTTATTATTTGTTTGTTGAAATTTTTCATTAATCATTGCTTTTATTTGTGCTGGTAAATCTTCTTTTTGATATGATGATGATGATGATGATAATGTTGTTGATGAAGATTGTTGTGATTGATTTATATTAGCTAATACATCATCACCTTCTAAATGACGAATAGCTTCAACAATTGTTTGTAAATTTCGTCTTGATACAGTATTATTTGTATCAACACTTTGTGTTCGAAGTTGACAACGTTCAACAATAACAATACCATTATCATTATTTTGATCAACTGAATTTGTTTTATAGTAACGTTGACTAGGTTGACTTTGTTTAACAATCATATATGTTGTATCAGATGTTGTTGCTGGTGTAGATGATTGTTTAACAGTTCGATAATATTTATCAATTTGCTATTAAACAAAAACGAAACGAAACGATTTTAATCTTTTATTTTTCTTCAAAATAAACATACTGATGATGATTGTTCATCTTTTTGTGTTTGAACATATTGTGCATGCCAATATGTATGACGATTTTTAACATCATCAAATACATTATTTACTATAGGTTTTGTTTCATCGTTATTACCAAGTAATAGAACAGTTTCATCTGAATCTATAAAAGATACATATCAATGTCAAATTTATGTCAAGGTTAATGGATAACTAACTGTCAACAACAACAGTGGCTTTTTTTTTGTTCTTTGTAACCACAAAGTAAGAAACAAAAAAAAAGGATAAAGAAAAAAAAAAAAGAAGACGAAGAAAAAAAAAAGAAAAACGGAAAGAACTTCTTACCATTCGTTGATAAACGTCTTTGTGTTTGTAAAACACTTGTTGAATCAATTTGAAAACTTTTTATTAATATACGAAATTGTTCATTTTGAGATTGTAATTTAAGTTTTTCATTTTCAAGACTCTTTATATGATCAGCAGCTCGTTGAAGAATACATGCCTTGACAACAAAAAAAAAAAAAAATTTGTTTTATTTTCTTTTTTTTGTCTGTTGCATAGAAAAAATAAAAAGGAACATACTTTACTAAGTTTTTCACCACATGAATGAGGAATGAGAATTTTTAAACTTTGAAAACCAGTATTTATTGATTGCATACGACGACGTTCATTTGAATTAGCTATTTCACGTCGTACACGTTTTTCATGTTCTAATTGGGAATTTGGAGTCATATCGGAACTAACACGACTAGAAAAAGAAAAACTATATATATATATATATATATTTATTCAAACAAGATAAGATATGTGAATGCAATGTAATCTCTTCTTTCTTCTACTAGCAACTCATCCAACATACTGACAGCCTGTCTATCCATCTGTCTATCAGCACATAATATGAATTGGAGAAGTGATGACATGCAAGTAGATCTGTGTTTTTTCTTTCTTTATATTCGTTGCTAAACTGAACTACAGTCCATGTATATATATATATATATATGTATACGAACGAAGAACAGAACAAACATCTTATATATGAGCGTACAACATATCCATACACTTGTGTGTATCGTATTTCAATTCAGTTCATAGCGAACGAGAGAAAATTCTTTCTTGACTCTCTGCCAAACACCATTCATTCTACACATACACATGCGCACACATGCGGAAAGACACAATGTTCTCGTTTTTTTTATCCTTTCTTTCTTTCTTTCGTTTTTTTTTTTCTTTTCGTTTGAACATACCTAACGTGACCAGAACTAGTTGAATTAGTTGATGATAATTTATGTTGTAATGGTGATTCAGGCATTACATGTACATACTGATGTTGTGATGATGATGCTTGATCAATTGTTTTGTCATTCGCATAGCAAAAGGACATTCACGATTTGTATACGTTTGTAGTATATTTCTTCCTATAGTATAGAAAAGAAGAAAAAAAAGAAATTTGTCACACATACACATCAGATGGAGTAGACGAAGAACACAACAAGCAGAAGGAGAAGAAAAAAAAAGAAAATAAACATTAGTAATAGTAGTAAAGGACGAGGAAAATCCATTCAATACGTACGAGTTTTTTCTATTGAAAAATATCAAATTTGATAAATTTATTTGAAGAATTAGTTGTAGTAAAAAAAAGTACGTATACAACTAACAATAGCGATGCGAACAAACTCGATGATGTCGACGAGAATATGTGTGTGTGTGTGTGTGTATAGAGTAATAATAGAAACCAGAAAAGAGAGCGCGAGAGAGAAGAATAAAGAGAGAGAGAGGGAGAAAGGAATGCAAACGAACGACGACCAAGAAGAGAAAGCACAAACGGAGAAAAAAGAAAAAGAGGGTATCTTATTTTTTCATTAACGGCGAATCAGCTGCACGACACAACACACATATATAAAAGGAACGAAGAAACAGCTGCTCTCTCTCTCTCTATCCACCCATCACATTTGTATGTATGTTAGATTGTGAGATGGCGCATGAGCCAACCAATAGGAAAAATCATTCGTTAAAAGAAGAGAACAATTGTTCTTCGTTTTTTTTTTCTTTTTTCTCTACTAAAATCACATGATGTTCGACAATGCACACGCACTTGGCTGAATGCCAATAATATTTGTTGGATTGGCTACTGTTTGCAAATGCATTTATATTCTCTTCTTGTCGACAAACCGAACACAAACCAAAAAATGATATAAATATATATATATATACATAAAGTTTTTTTCTTCCTTTTGTACTGCTGTGTTTCTATGAATAGAAGACATATGAGAGAGAAAAAGAATGAAAATCAACCAAGATTGTAACAACAGAAAGTTGATAATGACGATGTCTTGTCGTTTGAATGTGCTGTTATCATGTACCACGTACCAAAACACATGAAATGAGAGCACAAGGAGAGTACATAACAACGAGTGACCCGATTACTGGTAGTATTAAAAAAAAGTCAAGTAGAAAAAATAATTTGGCGCTTTGCCAAACTGATTCATTGCCAACAAGTATAATTAATGAAATAATAAAAAGAAAAGTATTTAATGCACAAGATAAAAAAAAAAACGCTTTCTGTTTTTTTAAACCCATATATAATATATTTAGCACGTGATAAGAAAATGAGTTTGTTCTGGCTATGAGCCAGATATAAAAATAATTCAAGAGAAAGCAAACAATATGACAAAAGTGTTTTACTTTGTCCTTTTTTACTTGACAACACAATTAACTGAAAATGTGAACGAGTATCACTATGAATCAAACATTATACATATACATTTTCATGTCATCGAAAAAAATCAAATCGATAAATCAAATTTGTACGCCTACACATGCACTAAAAGAAATGTAGTGATTCAATTGATGAATCAGATGATCTTTGCTCTTATACATATTTATCTAATATGTTGTCTCTGAGAATAAAATTCTTTTAAATTGTACATTAAATCTATAGAGTAGATTTTCATACATATTTTAACTATTTTTCGAATGTAATGATAATAAGAAGCTATTATAGACTATTAAAAAAAATTTCGAATGAAAGCAATTATATATTTTATTATATCATTATACGTAGACAGAAAGGAAATTTTTAGATAATTTACTTGCATGTAAAGGATACATTTATATTATGATATTAAATGAAGAGAAAAAGAAATACATATTGACTCTATAATGATGTAATATGTCATTATTATTCTTTTATTGTCATAGAAAAATTTGATCTTGTAAGATCATTTTACTATATATATATATATTTTGAAATCATTTTATATAATTATTAATGATTATAATAATATAAATGATTTAAAATTAGAAAACAAATACTATTTAATAAATCATCTAAGGTTGATTGAGAATAAAATTGAAAGTTAGATAAATTATATTTACAAATAGATCTATAAAATTTCATTTGATTTAGATAAAATTTTATGACAGTAAAATATGTATAGTACTTTAGAACGATAAATATAAAAAAAAATCGTTACCGATGTATTTGAAGAGTTTATCTAATATACTCTTCGTTTATAGATTATAAGTTAAGATATGAAAAATTATTATTTTTTTTTTGTAGGCAATATATGATTATTAAGATAGGAAGATGATATTTGTATATTTTATTGAAATAAAATGTTGAATATTTAATATAATCATTGAATAGAACATTATTGGTTTTATTTTAAAAAACCTATTATTACATTTATTCTTGAATGAAAACTTAATCTCATAGTTTATTGATCAAAAATTCATCTTTATTCATATGATATATTAATAAAAAAAAAGCGATGAGAAAAATGATAAGTCTTTTGATGATTCAACTGAAGTAAAATCAATTTTTACGACAAGCTAAAATTACTATTAGTAGTATTCCGTCTCTCTCTCATAAATGAATTGATATTAGATGTAGATAGTAGATATGTTCATAGGAGTAAGGTATGCCTGCTTTGCCCTAAAGTAGAATAGAATCAGGTCTTTCTATCCTATAATTTAGAAAATTAAATTTGCAATTTTTTTGTATCTTCTACAAGGACGTTTTTTGAATGTTAAAAATCGAAAATAGACTACTCAGAATCATACCAACTAATGCTTAAAGTTTTCATCTAGAGATGTAAATTCGAATGAGAATGTTAAAAAGTACAATATATAATAACTATCAAAGAATTGTATTTGTATTTCTTATTCTCGTTCTTTTATCACATTAATGCAATAGATTAACTTGTGAATGCTATATCATTTGAATTCTGACGATGACACTTACTTACTCTCTGCTGTTGACCTTAATGTTGCATCAAATGTGTCTTCATCTTGTTCTGTTGATGACATAACTTCATCTTCTTATAATCCTGAACAATTATAGTAATTCTTATTGAAAAAAGTTTCAAAGTTGCATCTTCAAATTAGTAATTCTATATATGCATCGAGCCTTTGAAGACGTACTTTGGAAATGTGTAAACGTTATTGCTTTTGAACTCGATTAAAAACTAAGATACCGTTAAATAAAAAATTCGAGTGATACTGTTGTTTTCAATTTTGTTTCGACCACTGTTTCACTGAAAAAAACCATAAATATCTAAAATAATTAACAATGTAACATTAACCTTATGTTTTTTTTTCTCACACTTTATGAAAACATTTTATTCTGATTCAGCGTGAAAAACAGAGCGGGTTTGGATGTAGATGGATAGAAGATAGTGCACACGCCCACCCATATCCATTAATCATTCGCATAACCACTTTTCATAAGTCATTGGTTTTTATTTGTTTTTATTAACAAACACACTTAAACAGATGTGATTTGTTATTATGAAGTTCGTATGTTTGCTCTAACAAATAATATCACACTGAGTGAAAAAAATATAATAGAAACATGTTAGTTTGTTCAAAATTGTCCATCGATTATAGACTTCGATGTTACTCATGAATCGAAGAAATGAGAAAAGAAATTCCTTGGTTAAAGCAAAATAAAAGTTAACTTTTTCGCAACATCGAAATTTCATGAGACAGCATTTTGACTATTTTGACAACTAAAGGTACACATATAAAATAATCTTTCTATTTTAGATTGTACAGCTTTTCACATTGCATATTGCGGTATATTTTGTTTCTTAATAAAATTTAATTGATGATTAAAACATAAAATACAAAACGACGACTACTTATTATGGTCCAAATGTTGTTTCCTCGACTGAAGTTGTAGTTCGGTGTGGGTGTAGGTATGAGTATGATTATTTGGATGGTGAAGAGAAATATCCCACTACATGCGCATAGATTTCTTTGCTGATATTCTAACCAGCACTGACATCCATACTCACACCCACACCCGCACACCCTCCAAAAAACCTATGGGAGACATTCGCATACGCCAGAGTAGTCGCGTGGAGCTTTCGCATTCTTCTTGGTTGTGTACTGCACCGTTCAATCTAGGCTGAGGATAAATAGATAAACGTAAGACTAGAAAAGTAAATTCATGAGAGGTTATTTTTGTTCACTCAGAAATTCATTCAATATTAATGACAATGTAGCTTGACAATCAGATATTTTAAGAATCATACTTTATAGCGGTGCATAGTACTCAATAAAAGCTATTGATTGACATATGAAGCAACGAAAAAAGACATTGCTAGGATCTTAGCTATAATAGAGAAGAATTCTGAATGGCATGCCGATAAAACAGAAATATATCATACTAATTGGAAACTTTGAAGAGCCATACTCCCCTAGTTTACTCGATGGCATCAAAAAAACTTTATCAGAACTATTGATTATATATTATCATGTAGTACCGAACCATAGATTTCGAACACTTTCATAATAGAAGACCATGACAAAATAGATACAAGATGAGTACATGTCGTTTATGTAGTTGTCTGAAGAGCTATAGTGATAAAACCTCAGATATCGTACTGTCTACAATAGCTTGCTTTAGATATGATCCAATTATTTTGATTCAATTGATCATCAGATAATAAACTGCATTTGTCAAATCAGTAAATGAAAATATGAGTGCCATTTAGATCAACCCAACGAATATAGAGAAACTATGGATACCATTATAGATACACATGAGATCATGTGATGATGAATGAATTCAGCATGAAAATGTGGTCACAAATGGGAGAAAAAATGTTTGAAAAATAGAATTTTCTGTTATTACTTGTGTTCTTATCACACTATTCTCAAATTTGAGGCTTATGATAATAAATTTAATTGCTTGACTTCTCATGTTGCACGTTTGTTGATACTACCGTTGATATGCTGATGTATTCATAAGAATCGGCAGTAGCGCTTGAGACTTTTAGTTCTAGCTATAAACAATTGCAGAGAATGCTTTCGGCCCAAAGTCAAATTTATTGTTAAAAAGAAATAAAATTAACTGAGAAAAAGATAGTTTCAAAT